AACGAGATACGTATCACGTTTTAACGACATACGTATCACGTTTTAACGACATACGTATCACGTTTTAACGACATACGTATCACGTTTTAACGACATACGTATCACGTTTTAACGTGATAGCGCTCGGATTTTTTTTTTCCCTGCCTGATAGCAATACGCTTCCGTAGCTTAGAGTTTTAAAGAAATTAGATGGAAAATCTGAGTCTTTTATAAACAATTTGTAGCCTACAACTTGACATGTATGATAGCATGATTTATTCAGATTAGCTTGAAGAGAGATCTAGAAAAGTGAATGGTTAAATGAGGGCACAGATACAGTGTTGTAAAGCAATTTGGGTGACCTTTTTGGATATAAAAGCACTGTGTATATGCAAGTACAGCCCATTTACATGATGTGTTTTAACACTCAGGTCTTTTATGACATGTCCAGGTCTAAAACCCACATCAATGTCATGGCCACCACAGTGGTGCTTCCACTGGGGAACAGATTTATTTCTGAGGATTTCAGCTTCAAATGGCATTATCCAACTGTAGCTGCAGTGTCTAATTACTGTACCATCAGCAAGTAAAAATCATATTTACTTTGTATCAAATTTATGTTAAAAAAAATATTTCAACCTGGGCCTGGTCCTTCACAGTTACTTTTGTGGCCCTTTGTGAAATTGAGGTGTCTTATCATCTGGTGAATCTTATTTAACATTTGTTAAAGTTAGTTTACTTAATGCTACCACTTTATGCTGTAATGTTAAAGTGTTTAAATTGATGTTTTTAGCGGTATAGCAGGGGATTAATTATGTAAAACTACTATGATACTTCATGGTGAAATGAAACACTGGGGCAGGAAAAACCTACCTGCAAATGTGTGCGTAAATGAAAAACAGATTTTTTGTAAAGAGAAAACAGAGCCATTCAGGTTAGGAAATAAACCCTACATAATCCTATTCAGCAGCTTAGCAACCCAGTATTCAAACAGCATGATTAAACTATAGCTTAGTGTTGCTTGTACCCTTTGGTTTGATAAACTCTTAATTCTCTTGTTGTTAAACACCAAAATAGCTTCAAATTGTCCTTGCTGAGAGCCAACAGGGTCTCACTTCCATCCTTGGAGCCATTTTTCTAGGGAGATATGTGAGAAAAGTATTGTGAGAGATCCCGCTCAGCCTGGCCAGAAGTGCTTTAACCTCTTAGGTCTGGACAACAATATTGTTCCAGCCCATCAAGAACCACCAGAATCTGCAATGACTTTATTCTCCAGGTGATAAGGCTTTGATTGATTGATTGATTGATTGATTGATTGATTGATTGATTAATTGATTGATTGATTGATTGATTGATTGATTGATTGATTAATTGATTGATTGATTGATTGATTGATTGATTGATTGATTGATTGATTGATTGATTGATTGATTTTATTTGGCAATAAAATAGCATGTACAAACACATCTAGTACATTCATTATTAGTACTTGGGTAACACAAGAAAGTGACAAACACTTATTTCCATTGTGGTCCAAAATCTCTCAGCTGAATCTCAACAATTTCAAGACAGGACAGGAAAATGTTGTTTCATTTATTTTATATATAAAGAAATATAAATACAATGTTATTCTTACTTCCATCCATCCCTTATCTTTACCTGCATCTTCTGTTCCAAGTCATGGGTGTCACTGGAACTCATGTTCATCAATTATAGTGTGTGGGGCAGGATGCACACTGGACAGCTCGCAGGTCTATCACAGGACAACTCTTCATTCTTTTGTTTTTTGGAACATTTAGGACAACAATGGATAAAAACAGGTTTTGAAAGAATATTTAGTCAAGTCACTGTACATTAAATAAAATGTGCACAAAAATGACATTTGCACAGTAGGTAGGTAGATCTGTCACCTCTCAGTGAGATGGCTGCTGTATGGCTATAGTGTAAATGAGGATGCTACATCAATATACTTCTAAAATCCAAATGGACAAATTACTTTGATGCCTTGTATACTTTATGAAGCTGTGATTCAACAAACCTTACTTTATTTAGATTTACCAGACACATTAGTAGGGATGCACGATGTATCGGCATTAACATTGATATCAGCCAATATTGGTCATTTTATAGAAAATTGGTATCCGTCCAATAAGTAAAACTGAGCCGATATTAACATCCGATGTCGATTTCCCATTTTTTAACTTTGTGTTTCTGTTTTGGGAGGGTAAATGTTTGGTTGAGTGGGATCTGTTTGATCATAGTGATAGTGATGCTGTGCAGCCAGGAATAACTATAGTAGAGCCATGCCAACGGTCTGGTCATTTTTTAACGGTATTGAAAAAAGACACAAGTGTGTCTGTGATTGTATGTACATAAATAATTTATGTTTGTGTAATATCAGTAAATTTTAGTTATCAGCCATAACAGCAAGAATTATATTAGATGATATTGGCTGAAATTTTCATATCAACACCTTCCTAATTAGGTGTGTTTTGCACAAAGTGTCAGTATTTCAGTTTTGCCAATACATATGTTTTAGCCCACCATCAGGAACTGTTCTATTGGTAGTCTACTGTATTTAATCAGGCAAGTAGAATTTTGAAACAGGAATTAAACTTTCAGGATATTTATTTTGCTTTAGCACCAAAAACCTGGGATATTTTTAACTAATGATGCAAGTAGGCTTACTAAGTAAAACATATGAGTTGAGTGTGATCATAAATGAGGTCAGGTGAAATCAAAGAATCCTTCACCAATTGTAACATTTTCAGGTTATGCAGAGTTGGAGCAGAGGCAGCTTGCAAAACCTCATTCCTACAAGATCTGCTGACTGTCTCTGGAGACCATAGCAGAGGGGTTGTTCTAAACCACCTGGCAACAACCTGAACCATCCAGCTTCTCTTGCCTCCAGCTGCAGGAGCATTTGCATCACATAAAACTCACTCAGCTGCTTTGGAGAGCTAGTTGCTGCAGTAGCTTAAGTCCAAGTCAGGGGTCTGCAGTCTACAGCTCTGAGGCCTCATGAGGCTCATTGGTCCCTCCCGTAGGGGTCTTTAAGCAATGACCAAAACTGACATGATTATGGTTTTTTTATGCACACAACTGAAAATTATAGTTTTCCTGTCAAATTGTTGCAAATATATGAATGTTACAGAGCCTGTCCGGTGGCATGGAATAAAAAAATGTTTGCACGTGGCCACAAAATAATAATGCATGCCCACGCAATGACTAACGCATGCGCACGTTATAATTAATGCGTAGCCACGAGATAATTAATGTGTGCACATGCAATAATTATGTCATGGCCACCACAGCACGTATTTCTAACAGCGGGGTGCGAAAGTTTGGGCAGCCTTGTTAATTTTCCTGATTTACCTTTATAAATCATTGGTTGTGTGGATAAAATATATAAGTAAAATATATCATATAGGGGACAAACAGTGATATTTGAAAAGTAAAATGAAGTTTATATGATTCACAGAAAGTGTGCAATAATTGGTTAAACAAAATTAGGCAGGTGCATAAATATGGGCACTGTTGTCATTTTATTGATTTCCAAACCTTTAGAGCAAATTGTTGAAATTCGAATTTGGTTTGGTAAGTTCAGTGACCCTTGACCTCCATACACAGGTGACTCCAATTATGAGAAAGCTTAAAAGGGGGGCAATTGTAAGTTTTTCTCCTCTTTGCATCTTTTCTGAGGAGTCGCAGCATGGGAGTCTCAAAACAACTTTCAAATGAGCTGAAAACAAAGATTGTTCACCGTCATGGTTTAGGGGAAGGATACAGAAAGCTATCTCAGAGATTTCAGCTTTCAGTCTCCACTGTGAGAAACATTGTGAGAAAATGGAATGGTAAATGGACTGTACTTGTATAGCGCCTTTCTACCCAACCAGGATAATCAAAGTGCTTCACACTACAATCTGTGTCCTCATTTACCCATTCACACAGCACTCTACCAGATCTCCTAGCTAACATGTACAATCAACTATGGAGACTAATCAGTGCCAGTCACATTCATACACTGATGGGACACACATCAGAGGCATTGGGGTGAAATGTCTTGCCCAAGGACACAACAACTGAGACAGCTGGACAGGGGGGATCGAACCGGCAACCTTCCAGTTCCAGGACAACTCCCCTAACCACTCTGCCACAGCCGCCTCACAGGCACAGTTCAAATCAAGGCTCCAAGTGGCAGACCAAGAAAAATCTGGAATAAACAGAAGTGAAGGATGCTGAGAACAGTCAGAGTCAACCCACAGACCAGCACCAAAGACCTACAACATCATCTTGCTGCTGATGGAGTCACTGTGCATCGTTCAACTTTTCAGCATACTTTACACAAGGATATGCTGTCTGTGAGAGCGATACAGAGGAAGCCTTTTCTCTGCCCACATCACAAACAGAGCAGCTTGAGGTAGGCTTTTTTTGTCACTTCAGTAGAAAACGAAACCAAATATTAGTTTATTTAGTTTATTTACTGTATTTCTTCATCAGTGACTTTTTTAAGTGAAGAGAAAATAGAGACAGAGAGAAAAACAGAGAGAGAAGTAATTAGAAAGATAGAAAGATTGAAATAGCGATAAGAAGAATTTTAAATATACACCAACCATCATGAGTCCATCACAACTGAAGATTGAACAAACTGGATCATCATGATGCAACAGAACAATGATCCCAAACATGCTGATTTACAACAGAATGACTGAAAATCAAGAATCAAGGTCTTTCAAAAGTCCAGTCAAAGTCCAAACCTCAACCTGACTGAAATGTTAAGTTTGACTAGAGATCAATGAACTGAAAACACTGAGCGAGACAGTTTTCTTCACAATCAAGCAAAATCCTGAGAAATTCCAACAGAAATTAATTTCAAGTTATTGCTACTAAAGGAGGTTTTACAAACTCATGAATCATGGCGTGGCTTTCTTTTTCCCAGGACTTCAGAGGAAACAAGAAAGAAATTAAC